GCCGGCAGACGTCTGGTTACTGCTCGCGCTCGCTCGCGTCGCGGCGCCGCCCGCCACCGGCTGCTCCACTGTCGACAACCTGCAGCTGCTGTTCCCGGAGGCTGACGCACTAGATCTGCTGCAGGTGAGGGGGGAGGATGAGGAGTGCGGGGTGGGAGGCTGAGGGGGAGGGATGAGGATGAGGATGGGGATGAGGAGTGCAGGGCAGGAGGCTGAGGGGGAAGGATGAGAAGTGCTGGCCGGGAGGCTGAGGGGGCGGGATGAGGATGAGGATGGAGAGTTCCTCATACACAGTGTACAGAGGTCCGGTCTTTGAGGAAAAGTTCATGTTAAGATTAATGTTAACTTTGTTATATTGTTTAACTTTGTTAGATAAAAATTCTCTATGAGGCTAGATTAAACGTTGACTACATTTGCTTTTGACAACGGGCTCCTGACTCCTGGTTAAGTCGGTCTCCTCTCACTCAGTCTACTTGATTACGGGAGTGACTGCGCAGATAAAGGAATGTGCAGGAGCTACGACCTACAGCTAGAAATCACGCGCTAGAGATCGAGATACTAATAAATCAAACACAGGGACGTGTGACAGCTACCAGCTAATTAATTAATTACTTAATTACTTAGTAATCACATCCTCGATTAGGCCAAAACAAAATATATGTGTGGTTACCGGTACATGCCGGGAAAAATATGGTAGGTAGGTAGGGAAAACATTTTATTTTCTTGAAATATTTTATTTACGAACCATGTCCGAAGGATTTGCGTTGTGCCTTTTGAAGCAGGAACTGTCTAATTCATTTTATTTTTTTTATTTTTTTTTTACTTTAAAGAAAATGGACAATTAAAATGTTTAGGGTCGCTGGGAATAAATAGGGTCGGTCGGGAAACCGTAACCACACCTATATTTTGTTTTGGCCTTAATCGCTCGTCTCTCACGTGTTTATGTGACGGGCTCCTCTCTCTCTCAGTCTACTCGTCTGCGTCAGCGACTGCTGCCACAGATAGAGGGACGTGTGACCGCTCCCTCTCCTACAGATAGAGGGATGTGTGACCGCTCCCTCTCCTACAACCCACTAATCGCACCCTCGCTCTCTCTCTCGCTCGCCCGCAGGTTCTCGAAGCTCTGCAGATGTGCACGCAGTGCGACGACGATGGAGAGATCGTTTACGAGTTCCCCTGCCTCAACTTCACCGAGACGCTGCCGGGGCTGTGGGAGCGCGAGGGCGCGTACGAGGGCGGCAGCGCGGTGTACGGCGGTTACCGCCTGCGCCCGGTCGGATGCGACCAGCTTCTCAACAGCGTGTTCGCGCGAATACAGGTAGGTGGTGCGTGCGTGCGTGCGTGTGTGTGCGTGTGCGTGCGTGCGTGCGTATGTGTGCGTGCGTGCGTGCGTGCGTGTGTGTGTGTGTAAGGTTGTACGTGGCGTGATCGTATAGTGTGTACCGGGTAATGATAAAGGTAGCGCGAGGCGCAAAGCAAAGACCAACTAGAGGCGTAACGTACCCACAATCACATAAATTATAAGCGATTATGAACACAACGGCAAAGCAGCGGTAAATCAAACGGTACATCAGTACATGTGTGTGTGCACGTGTGTGTGCGTGCGTGTGTTCGTGCGTATGCGTGCGTGCGTGCGTGTGCACGTAACAGGCTTCTCTTGTAGGTACGCCTCT